TGTGAAGTGATAGGTACTCCAGTATCCCTCATCCATTCTTTTGTAGCTATGTAAAAAATTACGGTAACTGGGAAATACATCTAAATTACTGTAATTAAGTAGAATTAATCTATTTTAAAATTAAACTTGAATACGTATTTGATAAAAATTCTTACATTCCATTTCCTCACTTTTAGTAAAACTTAGAGAGTTAAATAATTTAGAGAAACTACTAGGTGACTCTGGTTCTTGTTTACTTTCTTTTGTTTGCTTTACAGATTTCTAAATAGTTTTAATGCTGCAACATGTCTAGTAGGTTTCTTTTTTAAAGATTTTATTATTTATTTGACAGACAGAGATCACAAGTAGTCAGAGAGGCAGGCAGAGTGGGGGGGAGGGGGAAGCAGGCTCCCTGCTGAGCAGAGCACTCGATGTGGGACTCCATCCCAGGACCCTGAGATCATGACCTGAGCTGAAGGCAGAGGCTTTAACCCACTGAGCCACCCAGGCGCCCCACTAGTAGGTTTTTTTAAAGAGGTTTTTTGTTTTGTTTTGTTTGTTTTTTGCCTTTGCTTACAAGTTTTTTCCTTGTTAAGATTCAGATTTCACTGTTTTACCCAAATACACCTTGAGTTTGTTTTTCTCTCAAAGAGAGGCTGGAAGTGAAGTGTGCTTTAGCAAATATGCACCAGTAGCATGTGAATGTGTCTGTGTTTTGGGTGTGGAGTAAGGGGTGCTCTGTGCAGTGGGAAATAATAGAAACATCTGCTAAGCAAGGAGCAAAGCATTTTCATTAAAGGGTACTTTATGTTTTCTTTGAATTTATATGCTGGCCAGCTTATAGCATAGAATAAAACCATACTGTTATAAGTGAAAGTTAAAATTTCAATTGTGGAAATTGTTCAGATATTATTTTATTTTCAATCTGAAATATTTCATGGTAAAGTAGTTTATTGAAAAACATGTTGGACCAGTATTTCTATCTTTTATAAATATATGGAGGTGCTCATTTTGGAAGAATCTATTCAAAGCCAAATACAAGGTATTTAGATCAGTTCATTTAGTATTATCTTCTGGCTAGTTACTGGATTATCTTAGTTGCTTGACTATATCTCCATTTTAATTGCTTTTGATAGACTATTTCTAAGAATGGGATCAAATTCCTAATCATTAGTGCAATTGAAATCATTAGGGATACAAAGTCTAATCTTCAGCATTGTCTCCTCATATTTTACTTTCACAGGCAATTTTGATCTGGTCACTGGTGAAATTTCATAGGCCTGAGTATGCCAAAATTCCATACCCTGACTGGGGAGTTGCTCTAGGCTGGTGTATGATTATTTTCTGCATTATTTGGATTCCAATTATGGCTGTCATAAAAATAATTCAAGCTGAAGGAAATATCTTTCAAGTAAGCACATTTATATTATTTATACTTTATAGAAAGCCCTTATCAAAATGAAGATTACTCATATGGTGGTAATATGGGGTTATGAACCTTTAGGCAACTTCTACACCTGATATAATCATCTGATTACCATGTGCATAGCATAGCTTTACACCACGTATCTATTTGTGTGTCTCATACTAGACTCTAAACTCCTTCAGGGAGAGTCTTACATTGCTTGCTGCTATATCCTCAGGCACTATGAGAGTGCTTAGCATGTAGAAGTTTTATTTATACTTGTACTGAGTTGTCCCTGAAGATGGTGCAAAACAAATGAACATTTTGCTTTATATCTATAATCTTCAAATACACTGTCTGGTTATAACACATGTCTTCATAGTGTGTTTTAGACTGGAAAAAACCTGGTAAATTATTTCAAACCCAGTCTATACCCCGAGTGATCCTTCTTGCATGGAGGTGTAGGCAGATGGAGTTGATTATGACATCTCACTAGGACAATGACGAGGATAAATTCTCAGGAGTCAAATTTTTAGATAATTTCCCAAGCCCACCCTGATCAATGGTTTGACCCTGGAGCTCCTTTGTTTGGTTCTTGAAACCTCCCAAGTATACACTTGTTTAAATCCTCACCTAACCCTCCCTCTAGGGGCAGGACAGAAACGTCAGACAATTCAGTGAAAATACATGGATTGATTCCGTTGTTTAAAGGGGCTCATACACTTTCTTTTAAAATCATTTACATATTCATCAGTTATTCTGGTTTCGTAGTTCATGTAATTCTAGTTACGGTTAAATTTGGGTATCTTTTTTTTAGTATACTCTGTTAAGAATTCTGATGATCTCTGGTTCCTATTTCATTTTGGTTAGCAAAGAAACTTAATAATATGGTTTGGTATTTGCTTGTTTACAGATTGTAACACTTATGGTCTGAAACAAGTTATTTTTTTTTTCTTTTTAGCGCATTGTAAACTGCTGCAGACCAGCTTCTAACTGGGGTCCATACCTGGAACGACATCGTGGGGAGAGATATAAAGATATGGTAGATCCTAAAAAAGAGACTGACCATGAAATACCTACAGTTAGTGGCAACAGAAAACCAGAATGAAATCCAAGTTTTAAAAATATGTGGTCATACAATGTGATTATTTTAGAACAGAGGAAAATTTTATTTATTTTTATGTTAACTTAGTAGAAAAATGTATATACTATGCTCATGATAGTGTAAGCTTTTCCCCCCCCATTTAAGTAAGAATGTAATATAATGGGAATCTACTAATATTTAACAATGTGATTATTATATTTTTTAGATTGTCTATCTGTATAACACACATATATCTGTCTCTGTGTCACAGTAACACTTTTGTAAATATTACCTTATTTTTCTAACATACCGAAGACTTTATTTTGAGCCGGTTATTTAGAAAATTGTTTTATTTTCTATTTTACCAGTTTTAAAATACAATTTGCTTATATTTTCTTAGTATACAATCTTTCTTTTCCATAAAGCTGGGGAAAATAAACCAGTATATTTAAAAGAAAGTGTTAAAATTGAAGGCCTCATTTAACTAGAAATGCTATACATAGATGAAAAAATGTACTGTATATATGAGCACTGTAGTTTAATACTTTTAATCCAAATATATCTAAAATTTTGCTTTTTCTATGTGAACTTAGTGGTTATTGTTCTTTACTTACAAATAGTGAAATAAGACAGGAAAATAAGAATTCTATGGCCAGTAAATGATAAATCTAGCAAATGGAATCCTGGAGCTTTGAGTACTTCTTGCCCCCAAATAATGTCTTCCTCAAGACATTCCTTAAGTCTTCCTTGCCCCAAATAATAATTCTTCCTTAGCAATTGGAAGAATATGTCTCCCACCTAATTTGTTTCACAAAATTAAGAGTTGTTAATTATGCTCTCTGAAATCTAGATTTTCAAATAGAACATGGGACATACTAATGTGCAGTGGGAAATAATAGAAACATCTAATACTAATGAGGAGATGACTTTCAATCAAATCTAAGATCTTATGATTGTAATATATCATTAATAGATCAGGTAAAATGATTTTTGTCTTATTTGAGTAAGTTTCTACTTACAGGTGATAATTTATTTACACACTTAAAGGAGATAAACTTGTCAAACTTGTCAAGTATGAGAGAAGGCAAATTACAAAATCCTATGTCCCAGTTTCATTTAAAAAAAGATAATGAAAACGTGTCATTAATAGGCTTATATGTTGATATTATTGACCACTGGTTTAAACATCACAGCCTAGGATAGTGAACAGTGCCTAAATATGTAAGAAACTTCTCAGCTGTTCTTAAGGCTCTTAACCTGGGCTTCAGAGAACATATGAAACCAACATTATACACAATATTTTTCTATGTGAATGTGTACATGCATTTTTCTAGGGAGAGAGTCTAGAGTTTTCATAAGAATACCAAAGAGATCTGTGACTCAAAAAAGTTTAAGAACCACATATACTACTACTTCTGGCTTTTTGTCCTCAGCAAGTGAGGAATAAACCTTAATTTCTGATACATTTTAAATTCCTTTTCCTTTTCCCTTTGATTGAAGATTAAAAGAGTAAGGGATTAATGTATTTAATTTATACTGGTAATTTATTTTGGGGAGAAGGGGCACGAAGGTAGGTAAACAGGCCTATAATGGAACAACCTCAGTGAGCTATGTACACATATATAAAATGAACCTGTGTGTTAGATATTTTGAGGAGTCTGAGGGTAAGTCAGATGCCATTAGTGAACTTCAACAGATTGTTAATTCCTCGGTTACACTGGATTTTATAAAATATTTGAAATAGATGACTGACTAGAGTTAAGAAACACTTTTTCTTCATTTTAACCCATATTACATTACATGCATTCTATCATTCTATTTTGGTGCTATCTGAGGTGTCAATTTTCCACCCACTAGAAAAAGGTATGCCCTTTTCTATAGGTGATTCTTGTAATTCAGGGAAGATTTAGGCACATTTCTATCAAATTGGTGGAGGAGAGGGCGATGGGGAAGAAAACCCCTTCAAGAGTTGACTACAAAGAGTAAAGAGTTTGTGTGACTGTCTTCATAAGTGTCTAAGGCCAGATCTTAACAGTGCCTGGCATATTTTAGGGTGCTCAATGATAGCTCTTATTACAGATTTAACAGTGGTAAGAGAGTATTCTATATAATAGAGTTCCATCAAATCGCATTTACTTGAATGCAAAAAGACATTTGCAATATTGTGTTGTACACCAAAACTGTTTCTCATGTGTGAGTGAAATGGAAATCACCATATCTCAACTATATTCTTTTTGCTGTAGCTTATTTTTTAAATGCAAAACTTAGGAACTGTTTCTTTCTCTACTGTACTTTCATTCCTTCCCCAGTAAAACATATATATATATACATGCACATATATATGTTTATACATGTTTATAAACTTGTCAAACTTGTATATATATATATAAAATATATAAATGTATAAGTATATAAAATATGTAATCGATTCTTTAAATGTCAGTAAAAGCAAATTGATAAATGTCTGGATTTTGTACCTGACTTGGCATCCCCTCCCCCTTTTTCAACAACAATTCATTTGGTATAAACACGTATAATCAAATGAATTCACTCAAAGTGCCTTTAATGATTGCCTTCACTGTTATGACATTCTCTAAGCCTGTCAGATTTCCAGTTAACTAATGCACCATTTAAGCCCTTGATAACTAGGATATGTTCCAATTCAGCCAGCTTGTATTCCACGATCCTGAGGTTTACCAGTATTCGCTTCTGCATGGTTATCATGTGTGGGGAATTAATTAAGATATCCCGAGAGAGGCTGGTGACTGAAAGACTCTTATCAGTATTGCTCTTAGTTGACCCAGTAGAAGAGGTTGGTCTTACTAGTGCAAGAGAAGTTGAATTTGATGACATTTCACCAACGTTGCTCTGTAAGGGAAGGAAATTATACATATGTAGTTTATTGAATTTAGCAATTTCCAAATACAATTGACCTTTGAACAAGGGGGGGGGCGTTAAAGACATCGATTCTCTGTATAAAAACCCATGTATAATTTTTGCCTCTCCCAAAAGTTAACCCTAATAGCTTAGTGTTGACCAGAAGCCTTACAGATAAGTTGATTAACACATATTTTGTATATGTGTTATATACTGTATTTGTACAATAAAGTAAGCTAGAGGAAAGAAAATGCTATTAAGAAAATCATAAGGAAGAGAAAATACGTTTGAAGTACTGTATCCAAAAAGAGAAAGTAAAGACCCATGGAGTTCAAACCTATGTTGCTCAAAGGTCTACAGTACTACCAAATAACATGTTTAGTCTTGGTTACCAAGATAAACTGATTGTCCTCCCCTAAGAATTAGAGATTGAAAATCTGTTGAACAATGTTGATCTGGAAATATGCCCTTCCAAAACACTGAAAAACATGTATATGAAAGTAACCTTTAAATATCAAAATTGTCCTATTTTTGGTTTACATTTCTTGGACAGAAAAGTAGGTCTACACCTGGGCCCTAATCCTTAACTAAAAGGATCACCAAAGATCTAAAGTCACTTGCAGCTTTCAATATCACCAGGAAACCCACATTCTGACCTGAATTATTTGTGAAAGCCCAAATACCTGTCATAAAGATGGTTGAAACCATGGGGAAAAGAGGCAAACAAACATAAAGGCTGTAGTAGAAGCTAGAGAAGAGAGAGAAGGTATAGATTCCTAAAATAGGAGGTGGTGGGAAACGGGCACTTTCAGCTCTACTTTTCAAGTGGGTGAGAAGCACACCACATCACTCAATGCTTTTTAAAGCAGACCACAGCTACCCAGTCATTGGTCAATAAAAACAAAGAGTGGGGATAAACATCTGGGGCTCTCGCAAGAGAAGAGGAATGAAATGATCTTCCCTTACCCTTATTTTACTATTTTAGTACCTTTCTACTCTCTCAGACACACACCTCCCATCCATGAACCATCTAACTTCATCTAATTCCAATTTCTCTTACACACTTTACCTGAAAGCGGCTTTTCCAGAAGACAAACAGAAAAGCAAACAGAATGCCGCTCAGTAGAAGCAACAGCATATTCATGTTTCCTCTTCCACCTCTTTTTCTCTTCTCGGGTACGGAGGCACTCGGCTGGCAGTTGGGAAGCAGGGGGACACTAGTCGCCGGGACTAGGGAAGCCGCGGGCAACGGTTCTAAGCGTCCCACACTGCCTGGTGCATCTGGAAAACGCTTCCGCTTCCGGCTTTATATACTGCAAAGGGCATGTGATGTCACAGTGGAGCACCTACGTGAGGGCGCTGCATCACAATTTGATGACGTAAAACCCATAAGCAGGTGGCATGATGTCTGCCTACTTGGTTGTGCTGTCAGGTCGGTAGGCAGGGAGGGCACTGATAGACACCCGGGGCAGTCGGGATGTCCAGGAAGCTGAAACACGGTAGAAATACAGACTCCAAATTCATTGGTTAAATACAAGATTTTGAAATTGCTCCTCCCTCTTTTTTTTCTCTTTTAAATTAAAGATAATTTAATTTGTCTTTGCTGCAACCACTCCATTATTCATTTCAAAAACAAGGTCAGAAACGAGATGGAAATGTACTGTGAAAAGTAGTTACCCACACACCGCGGAAGTCTTTGCCGGAAACCTTTTCCACAGTCCCATTGCTATTTTAGGATTCACTCTGACCCTATTCGCCATTGGGCTAATTATGTACATTAGTGTCACTGTACAGTTTAAAAAGTAATTCTAGAGACATTCTCTCATATGATTCTCACAATAATTTTGTGCTACAGGCATTTTTTAATACTGTGTCTACTTTCAGGTATGCAGAAACAGAATCAGGTATTAAGTAAACTCATTTGAAACTAGTAGCAAAAACGGGCCCCAAATCACAGAATTGAGTCCTGAGGTAAACTCCCTCATTCCCTTGCCCTTTTCCCCATCCTCAGGCCCTCTACCTGTACTTTCTGACTTGTAAGCATCGAGTATTTAATATTTTCCACGCAAGGAATTGAACAGTATATTTGGATTAATATTAATGAGAAGTAACAGATACAGGAATCGTTATACTCAACAGGAAATGTTTCAAGAAACCTGCATAGATGACACTGAACTAAAAACTCAGAACTAAAAGCAATAGCCAGGGTAATCTCAAGATGAATGTCAAACTACAACCCCTAACTGCTTGGGGGAAAGACTCACATCTTCATATGGATAGGAAAGAAAGGAATTATTTACAAATTTTTCACATCAAACTTATTTCCCAATTATGAGTTCAAAGCTTAAAGATTTATTTATTCAATAAGTATGGATTAAACACTCCTGTAAAGACAGGCACTGTGATAAATTCTGGGGATATGATTATGAGCGAAAATAAGGTCTCTGTTCACCTGGAATGTGCACTGTAGTGTGGGAGACAGTTATTAATCAAACACTCGCAGAAATGAATGTAAAAGTGCTAATGAGATAAGTGGTAGGAAGAAGTACATGGTGGGTGGCACAGGAGTTTCTAATAGGATATGGGATATAAAGGAGAATGATGCTCCTGGCTTTAGGGCTTATTCAATTAGATGGATGGGAGATAACCATGTATGGGATTACTAATCATGAATTTGGTGTTGGACATGTTGAATTTGAGGTGACACTGAGACATTAAATAGTTGAGCTCGGGGAGATAACTGAAGACATAAATTTTTTTTAAAGATTTTTTTATTTATTCATTTGACAGAGAGAGAGATCACAAGTAGGCAGAGAGGCAGGCAGAGAGAGGAGGAAGCAGGCTCACTGCTGAGCAGAGACCCCGATGTGGGGCTCGATCCCAGACCCTGAGATCATGACCTAAGCTGAAGGCAGAGGCTTAACCCACTGAGCCACCCAGGCGCCCCTGAAGACATAAATTTTTGAGGCATCTACATACAAATGATAATTGAAGCTCTAGATATGGAAGAAATTTCCTCATGTCAGTGTAGGACATACAAAGAAAGAATAGAGCATGGAAGGATTTCAATATTTAATGGCTGGGTAACAACACTTCCTTTGGTATGTTACTATGGTTATGTTGACATTTAACTTTCTTCTTTAATCAAATAAAATTGAGTGCAGCCCAGTAACATTGTCTCTAACAAAAGCGTTTTGAATTTTGACCCTACTGGTATCCAAGAGAACACTTCAAAAACCTTTAAAAATATTCTCATCAAGCACATTAAAGTACTCTTCTAACCACTGAGTTTTTCATTTTTTTTTATTGCAGTATAATATACAAAACATAGAATTTAACATTTTAAACAATTTTAAGGGCACACTTCTATGGCTGTAAGTACATTCACATGGTTGTGCAACCCATCACCACCACCCATGTCCAAAACTTTTTCATCTTCCCCAACTGAAAATCTATATGCATTAAACACTAAATGCCTATTCTTCCCTCCACTCAGTCCCTAGAAACTACCATTTTTCTTTCTGTTTTTACAGATTTGGCTAGAATAGTTACCTCATAGAAGTAGAATGACTCAATATTTGTCATGTTGTGACTGGCTTGTTTCACTTAACATAATGTCTTCAAGTTTCATCCATACTGTACCGTGTGTCAAAATTTTATTCCTTTTTCATGCCAGATAATACTCTACAGTATAGGGCACCTGGGTGGCTCAGTCATTAAGCATCTGCTTTTGGCTCTGGTCACAATCCCAGGGTCCTGGGATCCAGCCTCATGTTGGACTCCCTGCTAAGTGGGAAGCCTGCCTCTCCCTCTCCCACTCTCCCTGCTTGTGTTCCCTCTCTTGCTACCTCTTTTTCCATCAATAAATAAATAAAATTAAAAAAAACATATTTCAGTATATATATGCCACATTTTGTTTACTTATTTATCCATTGATGGACACGATGTTGCTTCTACCTTTTCTTATAGTTCTGTTATTTTTCTAAAAATAGCTGAATGCATGTTTCTCTCAAGTTCACATGAAAACATTCTTCAGGATAGACCAAAAGGCCACAAAACAAGTCTTTTTTTTTTTTTAAAGATTTTATTTATTTATTTATGAGAGACAGAGAGGCAGAGGCAGAGGGAGAAGCAGGGTTTCCTCAGAGCAGGGAGCCCAATGTGGGACTTGATCCCAGGATCACAGGAGCATGACCTGAGCTGAAGGCAGACGCCTAACCAACTGAGCCACCCAGGTGCTCAAAACAAATCTTAATAAATGTAAAAATATTGAATCATACAAAGTACTTTTTTCCAATCACAACGGATGAAACTGGAAATCAACAGCAGAAGGAAAACTGGTCAATTCACAAATCTGTGGCAATTAAACAGCACACTATTAAACAACCTATGGGTCAAAGAAGAAATTAGAAAGGAAATTAGAAACTATCTTGATGCAAATGCAAATGAATATACAATATACTAATACTTATGGAATGCAGCAAAATCAGTGCGGTACAGGAAATTGATAGGTTTAAATGCTTTCTTTTTTTTACAAAAAGGACTTAAATCAACAACTAAGGGGCACCTGGGTGGCTCAGTTGGTTAAGCATCTGCCTTTGGCTCAGATCATGGTCCCAGGGTCCAGGGACTGAGCCCCGCATTGGGCTCCATCTGGCCCTCCCTGCCAACTTGTGTTCATACTTGCTCTGCTAGCTCACTCAAATAAATAAATAGGAATCTTTAAAAATTCTTTTAAAAAATCAACAACTTAACTTTATATTCCCTTTTGATTACTGCATGAAATATCTTTTTTCATTTTTTTACTATCAATCTCTGCATATTATACCTAAAAGTACTCTCTTTTAGACGACCTACACTTGGATTCTGCTTTTAATCCATTCTGCCAATATATGTTTTTTGATGGGGTATTTAATCTGTTTGGATGTGAAGTAATTACTGGTGGGGAAGCATTTACTTTTATCACTTTATTTTTTGTTGTTGTTGCTTTCTATACATCTTTTAGCAATTTTGTCCCTCCTTTTCTCCATGACTGCTTACCTCCTTTATCTTTAGTTCAGTATTTGTAGTGCTACATTTTGATTGTCTTCCTATTTCCTTTTGTGTATAGTCAATAGATATTTTATTATGGTTACCATGGAGGTTCCATATAACCTCCTAAAGTTATGATTATCTCCCTTAATTGATACCAAATTAACTTCAATTGCATACATAAACTTTACTCTTTTACAACTGCTTCCTGCTTCCACTTTATGTCATCGATGTCACAAATTACATCTTTTATATACTGGATACCCACTTACATAGATTTATGATTATTTTTATGATTTTGTCTTTCTAAATCCTGTAGAAAATAGTTAAGTGGAGTTACAAACCAACATCACTATAATACTGTGTTTTTTGTTGTGTTTTTACATTTGCCCAGGCACTTGCTTTTAATAGAAGGCTTTATATTTTCATATGACTTCGAGTTACTACCTAGCATCCTTTTTCTTTAAGATTTTATGTATTTGTCTGAGAGAGAGAGAGAGAATGCGAGCACAAGCAGGAGGGAGAGGCAGAGGGAGAGGGAAAGGGAGAAGCAGACTCTCTGCTGAGCAGGGAGCTTGATCCTGGGACTCTGGGATCATGACCTGAGCTGAAGGCAGATGCTTAACCATCTGAGCCACCCAAGTGCCCCTATATAGTGTCTTTTATTTCAATTTTAAGGATTCTTTTTAGTATTTCTTTTAGCATTACTTATTAATATTATTTTTAGAGAGAGAGGGAGAGAGACAATCTCAAGCAGACTCCACACTGAGCATGGAGCCTGACATAGGGCTCCATCCCATGACCCTGAGAGCATGACCTGAGTGGAAATCAAGAGTCAAGAGTTGGACACTTAACTGACTGAGCCACCCAGGTGCCCCTCTTTAGCATTTCTATTCATAATGAACTCTTTATGATTTTGTCTGGAAATGTTTTAATTTCTCCCTTATTATTGACAGATGTATTTACTGGATGTAGAATTCTTGGGCAACAGTTTATTTCTTTCCACACTTTACATACATCATATTACTGCCTCCTGGCCTGCAAGGTCTCTGCTGAGAAATCCACCCATATTATTATCAGGGATTCCTTGTACATGATGAGTCACTTTTCTCTTGCTATTTTCACTATTTTTTCTCTTTGGCTTTCAAAGGTTTAATTATAATGGTGTCAGTGTTGGACTATTTGGGTTAAGTGGAATTGTTAAGATTGTTAAGATTCTGGGGTTTGTATATTCA